GGGACGTCCTTGGCCTCTGCTGGTATTCCTAGGGGCAGGGGGCTCACCCTCTGGGACAACCCTCATGCAAGAGCTGGAGCAGCTGGAGCTGGGAGGAATGGAGGGCACGTGGGCTCCATCCCACACAGATGAACCAGGCCTAGCCCCTGTCCCCACCCTGTGGCTGGAGAGACCAGGACACTTCACATTCAATCACCTGTCACCTCCTGACCTTCTGCCCACGGCAGACCAAGTCCTGACCGAAAGATATAACTTCATAAAATAATCTGTACGTGTTGGCAGTCAGTACTAGGTACTGGCGTGAAACACTCAAGGCACCTGCCTTCCAGTGACAGGCATGAGATGATAAACATATAATTCCTGCGTAGCTACACTCTGAGAGAGAGAGGGTGGCTGTGAATAGAAAGGGAGGGACACTCACAGAAGGGAATGACTTCAGACACAGGGAAGGGATGCCAGGCCATCTGCTTGAAAAAGGCGCCTTTTAAAGAAGAATGTTTCTGGGGCTGGTACTGTGGCATAATGGGTTAAGCCTCTGCTTGCAAAGCTGCTGCCAGCATTCCATATGGGCACCCATCTGAATTTCAGCTGCTCCATTTCTGATCTAGCTCTATGCTAATGTGCCTGGGAAATCAGCAGAGGATGGCCCAAGTTCTTAGGATCCTGCCCCTACATGGGAGACTGGAAAAAGCTTCTGACTCTGGCATTGGCCTGGCACAGCTCTGTGCATTACAGCCATTTGGGGAGTAAACCAGTGGACGAAAGATCTCTCCGTAACTCTTTCAAATGTTTAATTAGTTTGAAAAATGAATTTAAAAAAAAAAAGATTTACTTCTTTTTTGTTGTTGGAAAGGCAGATCATATTTATGGAGAGGAGAGACAGAGAGAAAGGTCTTCTGCTGAGGGAGGAGAGCCTAGCCTCTGACCTAGGACCTCTATCCCGCCGGTTGCATTTTAATGCTATCGGGGTGTCTTGGCTGGGTGGCCAGGGTGCCAATGGCGCTGGGTGAAGAAGCCCTCTAGCCATTTGGCCACAAATTCTGGGGACCTGGGGGTGGGGACTATAAGGCAGAGGGGGAGGGGATGGGCAGAGTGTTCCCTTCTTCGAACTACGCTAAGAAGCCGGGCACTCAGAGGCTATCAAAGCACTTGAGCAGTATCTGTGTGAGTGAACATAACACAGTCTCCAGCAGCACTTGGGTTTGCAGCAAAGACAAAACCCAAGGGAAGCAACGCATGTAGGAAACTGGTCTGCCTGTTCCCAGGCTGAGCACTCTGACTGGCCTGGCTTTCCGCTCAGGCCAACAGGCCAGCTCACTTCCCACTGCATCACCTCCTCTAGGATGCCCCATTAACTTCACCCTCCATGCTGTTCCCAGCACCTCGGTGTCCATCTTCCCTTCCTCTAACGCTGCCCTGAAGAGAGGAGGGGAGAGCGGTGCTGTTCAGAGCAGGAAGCCACAGAGTTGAGCTGCACAAGAGCCCCTTGCCTTCTCCAACCAGCCCAGGAACGGGCTACGCATTGCCACCTGCTGGCAAACCACTAGAATGGCAAGGGAGGGTGGAGGCTCCTGGAAGTGGCCCAGGCACGCCTGGGTTTTTTAGGACGGGTCATCCCGCAGGGTCTTCTGAATGGAAGGCTTTTCTGAGGCGCCTGGTGATTCCCAGGAGTAGAGCTGAGCTTGGGACAGGAAGGATGAGCCTAGCTCTGGTGGAATGGCTGCTTGGGTTCCAGTGTCCCGCGTCCAGACTCTGGGCTCCAGCCAGGGCAGCTCCACCCTGTTACCATGAAGACCAGGACTGTGTGCACACAGCTGCGGGGATGACCCCTGACCCGGAGGGAGGACCTCCAGGGAGGGAGGACCTCCAGGGAGCCAGGACCAGCCTCAAGCCAAGCATCCACCCACACCCCTTTTCCGGGATAGCTTGTTTTGCTCCATAGCTTGGGACTTTGATCTGGGATCTATGTTTTCCTCCCCTTGGTCACCTGATGTCCTGCCTGCTTATCCCCCTCCCTGAGCTGCCATCCCCAAAGAATGGCCCAGGGAGCTCTTGTCTTTCCCTCCTGGGAAGGTGGGAGCTCCTTGGGCGAGGAAGGTGGAACCTGGGGCTCGGGGGCTGATGATTGAGGCAGGACTACTCTTGGGAAGGGGGCCACAGGGGAGGGGGGCTGCAGTAGTGACTTTCCTGCCCCTCCCCCAATCTCTTCTTCCTGGGCTTCTAAGACACCCCACTTTGCCGTGGCGTCTTCCTGCGGCTACATTCTGCCTCCTTGTTCCAACTCCTCTGTGCTGGGACTGCATGCTGGTCCCTGTCTTCTCGCACGCATACACAGGTGTGCAGGTACAGAGACACCTGTGCTGAGGGCCCCTGACGGGTCCACGCTGCAGCTGACAGTTTTGGGTGCAGGTGGCTGGCAGGTCTGTGTCTGACTGGAGCTAGGGATCCCACTGTTTTCTAGGCCTGGCTCTCTGGAGCGTACACAGCCTCCACCCTCGCTCCGCCTAGGCAGGCTGTAGCTAATCAGTCCTCCTGCCTGCCCCAATCTAGCTCCAGCCCCTCAGAGGCCCCAAGCTCCCACCCAGCTGCCTGAGCCACAAACTCCCCCTGGGAGCTGCCCTGCCTCTGTGTACCCAGTCCCAGCTGCTCACTGGGTCCTACCAACTGTGCCTCTAATCAGGCCTCAGATCCATACCACTGCCCACACCCTGGTGTGTGATTCCTGGGGCAGCCCCCTAGGCCTCCCCGTCACCAGCTTGTGGCACCCCCTTCGTTCTCCACCCTGCACAGGGTGAGTGGTCTGCCCAAACCCTAGAAGTAGGCCTTGGTCCCTGTTTGTTAAAGTCAGCCCCATTCCTTGCATTCCAATCAGAAATTCCCTGGCTGTTCATTAACATGCACAGTGCCTGGTCTAGACTGTGCCAGAACATTCTGAAAACACCAAGTTGGGCGAGGAGGGGAAACCTGAATGTGTATGTTGTGGGAAGCATCACTGAATCCAAGTTGCCTCTAGTCATTTCTGAAAGGCCTCCCTGCACATGCATGTGCACCAACACACACACACACACACACACACACACACACACACACACACACACACACACACAAAGTGCAAGGGATGGTGTCTGTGTCCCCACCAGCACAGCCATCTTGAAACAAACAGAGCTGCCCAGAGGGACCTAGCAGTTTGGTGGCATAGAGCAGGGGGCTTGAAGGGGCTTCCACACAAGCCCTCCTGAGTGCGGAGGTCACAGTGTTGGGGTGTCGTGTGGGTGTGCAGGAAGTTCACAGAGAAGTGGCATGGGGAGTTGATCCGCAGTACCTTTTCATCTGATGGCACAGCTCCTTGTGGTGAGCGAGTCGCTTCTCAGCTACTTGTTTGTTTTTATTTTTGAAGATTTTATTTTTTGATTTTTATTTGAAAGGCAGTTACAGAGAGGAGAGAAAAAGAGATCTTCCATTCACTGATTTTCTCCCCAAATGGCTGGAATGGCCATTGCCAGATAGGACACCAAAAGCCAGGACCTTCCTCTGGGTCTCCCACGTGGGTGCTGGGGCCCAAGGACTCGAGCCATCCTCTGCTCAGCAGCTTTCCCAGGCCATAAGCAAGGAGCTGGATCAGAAGTAGAGCAGGTACTCTACTTCTTGAACTGGTACCCATATAGGATGCCAGTGTCTCAGGCAGAGTATTAACATACTATGCCACCACGCTGGCCCTCAGCCACCATGTCTTTAAATCTATCACCATTAAGCTCGGTGAAGCCCCGTTTCCTTGAAATGGGAATCTTCTTGTGACCAGGCTCCTTGCTTTTCAGCTTAGAGTGGGTGGCTGTGATGACCCCGGGAAGGCCGACCCTGTCACTGTGCCCCAGGGCTTTCCTAAGGTACCCCATGTGCCTATCTAGGCCTCATCTGGGGACAGCACGAGGTCAAAGACAGGAACCTCTGCAGCAAGGGCTGTCTATACGGTCCCTTAGGACAACCCATAGGAGCGCAGGCTGCTGCGCTGCCCCGGAGGTTGCTTGCTGAGCTCCCAAGGGGCAAGGAGCAGACCCCTAGCTCCTGCTTCCCGTGAAGCCTGGCTCGTAGCCTCTTGGGGTGAGGCTGGGCAAGGAGCCTCAGCATGATTTGTGGCTGTGGGCCTTAGCAGGTACTCGGGCCGTTTGCAAGGAGGCTGGGGGATGGGCAGGCTTTCACGTTCTGGGGAGTGGTGCATCTTCTTCCAGGCTGGGACCCCAGGCTCCTGATGGGATGTTGGTCCATGGCACTGTCCTTCTTCTGCCCTCTACAATATGAGTGCTGTAGTCACCTGTTTCTTGCCCTGTCACAGGTAGAGACTAGAGCTCCCCTGGGGGAGGACAATGTCCTGGACCCCAGGGACCGTATCTGTGATCTCTGGATCAGAAGGGTTGACCTGAGCACAGGTCTGCCTGGCCAGGTAGGGGCCTTGGCTGGGGTAAGCTCAGGGCTGGCACCTTCAGGCCTTGGGCACGGGGTAGAGGCTCCTGGAGCTGGGCTGTGGCCCTGGATCAGCAGGGCAGGGGGGCCCGGCGGTGTGGCCTAGCGGCTAAGTCCTCGCTTTGAACGTGCTGGGATCCCATGGGTGCCGGTCCTAATCCCGGCAGCTCCACTTCCCATCCAGCTCCCTGCCTGTGGCGTGGGAAAGCAGTCGAGGACGGCCCAAAGCTTTGGGACCCTGCACCCATGTGGGAGACCCGGAAGAAGTCTCTGGACCCTGGCTTGGGATCGGCATAGCATTGGCCGTTGCGCTCACTTGGGGAGTGAATCAGCAGGGCAGGGACAGGTAAGGATGGGAACTAGGTCAGACTCTGGGGCAGGTGAGCAGGTTGAGTCTTCCAGGCTCTCCAGCTGGTTTCTTACACCCACTGTCAGCTTCCAGAAAGCCCCGCCCTTGGGTGCCTCACAGGTGTCTCAAAGTTGCTGCACGCAGGCGGACACTGCAGGCGTCTAGGACTCAGATCCACCTTCTTAGCAGTCAGTCTCCAGGCTGGGCACCTGCCAGGTTTGGCAGCTTATTACCACGGAGGGAGGGCAGTTTCTCTCCCTTGCCCGGCCTCTTCCTCCTCCCTCCCTCCCTCCCTCCCTCCCTCCCTTACCTTCCTTACTGGCTCCTCTCAGGCAGGTTCAGACGGGAGCCTGGGCTGATCTCAGGCAGACACTCCAGGCCCCCGCAGCTCCAGGAGCCCAGACACAGCAGGTGAAGCCAAACCCAGCAGCTGCTGCAGCCATGTCCGCCTTCAGCCTGCTCCTTCTGGGCCTGCTCACCACGGCGGCCCCCGCCAGCTGTCAACAAGGTAACGTGGGACGGGGCCAGCCTGGGTGCTGCAGGCCAGTGCTGGCTGGTCTGGGTGCCGGGGTGTGGTGGGGATGATGTTCTAACTCCCTGAGCCCTGTGCTTTGGAGGGGCAGCCTGCAAAGGCAGAGAAATGGAAGCACGCCTCAGTGACTTGTTTTCTGAGAATGAGAAATGGGGCCACTAGGGGAAATGCGGCTTCTAGGATTTGGGGGCTGAACAAGCCCTAATGGTAACTTGCCCTTGAGGTGACTAGGTCCCGATGTCTGGGAATCAGGGGTGCTGAGGGGGTGGGAGTGGAGACAGGCTTGCCGAGGAGTCTGCAGTGACTTGACTTGATAGCTGTCTCAGCTTCCTGGCAAGGCATCAGTATCCCCTTGTGGCTCCCCAAGCTGTGCTGAGCTCCGACCCCGGCTCTTGCTGTGTGCCCCTTCTGAGCCTCAGGAGGACACTGCCATCCCAGCTTCCCCTGTCCTCCCCCATCTCCAGCAGCTGCTGTCAGGTGTTGCCCCCTTTTGAGGCACAGGCTGCAGCATCAGGCTCGGGCCCAGAGGAGCTGGAGCCATTCCTTCCAGAGCAGCCCATCACCCCGACCTTTCAGGCATGCTGGCTTTAATTCAGTCTCCTGGGTTCTTGAAGGACCAGAGAGACCAGCTACACAGGTCACACAGCAGGGCCAGAAAAGGGCAGGCTGCCGACTGCTTCCTCCTGTCTTGGAATTTGCCCCTTGTCCCTTGTGCTCATCCCAAAGTGGGGGGGTAGGTGATAGTGGTCCCTGTGTGTCTGCAGCTGGCTGCAGGGCCTGGAGGACGTGGGGAGGGAACCACTACTTCCTGAGGGTGGGGTAATGTGTCCCCAAGGCTACTTTCTGGAGGGAATGGGCCTGAGCACTAGCACAGGTGCAGCTCTGCTAGCCCTGCAGGTCAGTGAGGGATGACCTGACTCCCTGGCCAGGGTGTTCCCAACTGGTTCCATCCTTTCCATGGTTGCAGGAGGCTGTGTGTGTGTGTGTGTGTGTGTGTGTGTGGTGGGGGGCACTCAGGGAGGACTCCTGTGTGGGCATGAGGCCAATGAGGATGGTGCTTAGCACAGGTGCCTCCAGCTAGTCGGGGGTAGGAGGGGCAGCACATCCCCTTTCTCTCCTCACTAGCCTTCCAGGGACCCGTGCCTGCCTCCCAGGGGAGCATCTCTCCTCTGCCAGGCAGTGCAGCCTTGGCCTGTGGGGCACAGTGAGGCCCAGAGTCAGCCAGAGGCTGCTCAAGAGCACTGACTTCTGGGAACTTGTGAGTGCTTGCAGGGAGGGGTACAGACAGCTGGGCCAGAGGAGGGTGTACAGAGCTGGGTTGGAGGCGGGGCACAGAGAGCTGGGCCAGAGGGGTGGGTGTAGAGAGCTGGGTCAGAAGTGGGGAGCAGAGAGCTGGGTTAGAGAGGGGTGCCGACAGTTGGGCCAGAGGGGGCACAGAGCTGGCACCCAGTGGGAGGAGCCAAGAGGAACTTGCTGGTTGAGCCTCCTTCCTGCTGCCCCAGAGGACAGCACTTGCCTGGCTTACCTGTCTGGAGACAGACAGGTCCTTGGCTCTCCTGGCATCCTGGCACTCTCTGGAACAACCCACCTGCCCCCAGGCTTACATCTTTCCCCTGCAGAGAAGGCTCTTGCTCCAGAACAGGATCTGCCAGATGCCAGCACTTGCATAGCTAGGGAGGAGAGAAGCCACTCCTAGCTGAGCTGGCAGGACCTAGGCCAGCTGTCCAGGGGGCTGCCCTTTGGTCTCTGGGGCCCAGGCACTCCCCATGGGGCATGCTTGCATGTGACCCCTGGGGGAGGGGGAGAGGCTGCAGGCTCTGAGGCCCAGTACTCCACGCCTGTTCCTTCTCCCACCTCCTGGAATAGGCTGACTCCTCATTTTGCTGATTTGCAGTCCTTGTGGGTCACAAAGGGCCCCTGAGCTGTTATGGCCATCCCTGCTAGCCTGTGCCCTGTGGCCCCAGCAGGCAACTCATAGCCTCCAATGTGTCCTTGGTGGGGTGGAGTCCTCCCTGCCTGTACCTGCTCTGCTCCCACAGCACCCTCACCCCTTCTCAGGTGTGGGGAGACTGCAGCCCTGGATGCAAGGCCTCATCGCTGTGGCTGTGTTCCTGGTGCTCGTTGCCATCGCCTTTGCTGTCAACCACTTCTGGTGCCAGGAAGAGTCGTGAGTGCTGGGCATGGGCCGAGAGTGGGAGGGGGTAAGACCCCTGTGGTGGAAAGAAGGGCTTGGAGACCCTGAGTCTCCTCTACTCACGGTGGGAGGGGAATGGAGGCTCATGACAGCCGGAAGTGGCACTCAGGCTTGCTCCCTGACACTGCCCAGCACTCTGGGGAGTTGTCTTCCTCCTGTTGGGACCTGGGTCAGGGTCATGAGGACACCTTCTCTGGGGTCAGCTGCAGTGCAGGGGGGCCTCATGGGATTACAGAGTGGAACAGGCAATCGTAAGTTCAAGTGTGGCTGAAGCAGTGTTCAGGATGCGCTGCTCAGCCTGACCTGGCCTGGGGTAGTAGAGAAGGCATCCTTGATGGCTGTTTTGTCCCCAAGAGTGAGCAGGAATTGGTCACAGCATAGAGTGGCTTAAGCAGACTAGAGCTGGGCCCTAGGGGAGGGGCCTGGCACCCAAGATACAAGGTGAGACAAGTCCAGGATGTGCTGTTCCAGGCGGACCAGGCACCCAGGCCAGGATGCCTGTGTCCCTGGGGTGCCTCTTCCCAGCTCTCACAAAGGTGGCTTGGTGGCCTGGCTGGACAGGTCCAAGGCGAGCGGGTGAGGTGGGCAGGACCCCGGCCTCCCACCACCCTGACCTGGAGCTTTGTGCTTGGTGCAGCAGTGAGCAGGGAAGGGCTTGGGGAGCTGTGTTAGCATGTGACCTGTCCTGGGCAGGGGTCTCTGCCTACCACAGAGAGGATGTGTGGCTGGGCATTCTGTGGGCATGGACGGTAATGTGGAGGGTGGTGAGAAGGCCAAGGGCAGGAGAGAGTCTGGGTAGAGGGGATGGAGAGAGGGGACAGCTGGAGTGGTGGACGGATCCTGGGGAGTCAGTGGGCAGAGTAGGAAGAGTGCAGGGGTGACTTCCAGGGTCCTGGCTGGGGATCACTGAGGAGGCACAGAACACAGAGAATGGATCTGGGGGAGACAGCTGGGCTCGCTTTGGGGCACTTTAGATCAGAGGTTCCTGGGCTGTCTTGAGGGCAGAGCAACAGATGAGAACTCCCTGCTGTCCTCCCTGGTACAGTGCGGGGTCAGGGAGGAGCCCAGCTGCAGGGGCCTTACACTTGAGAGGGAGGGGAGCTTGCTCTCAGTGAGGCTGAGCGAGGCTTACTGCTCTGTGGCACCCTGTAGCTGCTGACCCTCTCTTCTGCTTTTGCTGGGGGCTTGTCCTGCAGACCCTGGGCACAGGCCTGGAGTCCTGGTCTGTGGGCAGATGCAAGGAAAGCCTGGAACATGTCTGATGGTGTGGGAGGAGGCTAGAAGCAGGAGGCCACCAGAGTCCGGGAAGAGGGGCTCCCCGGGGAGAGTCCCCTCCTGATGAACCCCTTCCACAGGGAGCCTGTGGACATGGTTATGACTGTTGGAAACAAGTCCGATGGGGTCCTGGTGGGCATGGACGGAAAGTACTCCTCGAATGTGGCCGGCTTCAGGTGAGGACTGCTCAGGGCTACATGACTTATGCTCTGGACCCCTGCAGTGGGTGCTGTGGGCTAGGGTGGGGCTGGAGACTCCTATGGGGAGGGCTGGGTGAGGACAGGGCCAGCAACCAGGACTTTGGAAGAGCTGCAGGCTTCAGGGGGAGCTCAGGCTTGTTTTGGAGTGGTACACTAAGTAAGAGATGGAGAGTTGAGGGCTCAGTGGATGGACTGGAATCCACAGGGCAGTGGGCATCTTAGGGAGAAGGGCTGTCAATGAAGAGAGGAATGAATGAGGGGAGTGGACCCGCAGCCAGGGCTGGGCGGGGGATGGGCGCCTTGGGGAGCCAGTCGGGGAGGGCCCAGTGCAGGGTGAGAGGGAGCTGGGGCTCAGGGAGGTGATGCTGGGAGGCCTGCAGTCTCAGGTCCACTCGCCCAGATGAGCCCAGGAACCCCTCGCTTCTGAGAGTCCAGTGCTTATCCTGGAATTAAAGATGGAGCAGGGCAAGGGGCACAGGTGGATAGTGGGAGAACTCCAGGATCTGCTACCCTCTTTCAGGTCCAATGAGCACGTGAATGCCTATGAGAATGTCCTGGAGGAGGAAGGCAAGGTCCGCAGCACCCCCATGTGACCCCCACTGACCTGCTGCCCCAGCCCGAGGCCCGCAGGCACCTGTGAGCAGAGCTGTTCATCACCGCCAACCAAGCCATTCCTCTGCCCTTGGGGATGGGATGTCCGCTCAGCGTGGCGCCATCTGCCCCACGGCTCCACCCTGACGTGTGGGAAGGGCCCTTATTTCTGTGAAATAAAGACTTTTTGTACTCCTGGGGCGAGGGCTCTGACACCAGCCGGGGAGATGGTGTCCAAGGCTCTGAGATCCCACTACCCCTTGTTCCAGGAGTGCTTCTCCTAACCCACTCCTCACACCTGTGACACTCGGACCTGCCCCCATACTGCCCAGCAATGTGAGGTCCACTCATGTCTCGCTAGTCTGGCTTGGTTTGCTCCACTTGGCCACTGTGGCTTGGGCTCAGCCTTGGACTGACCTCCACCACTCCTCTGGAGGGGCTGGCCAGTGTCACTGCACAGCTAGGCAGCAGGCTGTCCTCGGTGGTGCCCCGACTCTGTCCTGGGGTGGAGGTGAGGCCAGGGCTCAAGGAATCAGGTCCCCACTCAGAGGGAGCTCAGCAGGAGGCAGGCAGAGGAGGCCGATGGGCAGGGCTGACTCACCCTGGGACCTCTCGGTCTGCCAGTCCTGGCTCTCCCCGTGGGGTGAAACCTGAGACAGGCGGCCCTGGGGGCGTTGGGTAGGTGGGTGGGTGACTAGAGGGCTGGAGGCAGCCCCGCAACCAGTTTACTCCTCTTCACCTGTCAAGAGCCCTTTATCCGCTGTTTTGCTGTTCCGAGGCTGCATCCAAATAGGGAGACTCCCTGCATCCACCAGGGAGACACATCTTCAGGCAGAAGGGGGGCCCTCTCACCTAACTGGGCGAGCTCAGATTGACCCTCTCTGCCCTGCTGTGTGACCTGAGGCAGACCCCCTTCCCTCTCTGGGCGTCAGTGTCAGATGTCATGACGGTGATGACGATATTGGGAGTCCCCCTGAAGCTTTCAGCTACCTGGCTTCCTGTTGAACTCCCGCCCCGCCTCTGCCAGGTCACATCCTGCCCACTCTATCCTCTCCATCTGGCTTGGCTCTACTTCCTCTAGGTGGTCCTTTAACTCCCCAGGGCAAGGACAGGCAGTGGACAGCTGCTCACTGAAGGAGGGACAATGCCCCACCAGCACCCCCTCATCCTTTCGCAGCCTCCTGCCCGGGTCTTATTTTCCTTACCCACCTCTGCCTGCCTGCAGGCTCCTTTACCATCAGCCTGCCAGGACCCCAAGGCAGGGCCACTGTCTCTGAATAGCCAGTGCAGTCCAGCCCCATGCCCCTGGCCTGCAGGACACACCTTGCTCCCGGGAGCTGCCAAGGGGAGAGGGCGTTGAGTTCCCAGCAGCTCCTCCCCATGTTGTCTCTTCAGGTCAGTGCCCCTGCAGGGGCTTGGCTGGCACTGACCTCACACTCCCTCACCCCCATCCTATGTTCCCTGTGGGCTTCTGGGAAGAGGGTGGTGGGGGTGAGGGAGTAGGGGGGTTGTATTGGGAGCTTGGCGCTGCCGGCCCCAGAAACCCCCGAGACCCCCAATCCTTATCGCTGGTTCCCACCTGCCAGCCAGGGCAGATCAGGGAGGGAAGGGAGGCTGGGCCCGGGCCAGGGCGGCCTCTTAATGACCCTCCCGGGGCCTAATCTTGGATTGGCAGCCGCTGAGAGGCGCAGGCTCGCTCCTGGAGGAGGCAGATAACGCACCAGCTGGGCCCCCCACCACCTATTGCTGCACCGCGGTCCCCAGCGGCCTCCGAATCCGGGCAGGGCTGGAGGGGAGCTCTCCGCCCCCAGGCCCGGGAAGGGGTTGCCGGGCTCGGAGTGACAGATGGGGCGGGGCTGCCCGGACAGGAGCCGGAAAGCTCTTCATCCTCCCCGGAGAGGAACTCCTTTTTGTTTCTGCCAGCCGCTGTGGACCTATTTCTCCCTTGCTTGGCCTCCATCTTTGTCTTTTTTTAAGGGAAGGGGGGTGCTCCCCATCCGCTGATTCATTGCCCAGGTGCCAGGAGGGTCGGCCGAGTGGGGTCAAAGCCGCAGAGAGGGAGCTCCGACCGGGTCTCCGCACTCCATCTCGCATGGGCGGGGTGGGGACCCAGCAGCTTGAGCCTCCACATTCTGCTTTCCAAGAAGCTGCATTGGGAACTCAGCCCTCCGACAGGGGCATTGTTAAGAGGGTCTTTACTGCTCGGCCACACGCCTGTCTCCCTTCTTCCTGCATGGAAGTGCCCATAGTACCCCTCCAAGGGCCTCCTCCCACTTGAGCTCCCCGATGTCCCCAGGACCCGCTGTGAGCTTGTCTCCAGCTGGCCTCTCCCTCAGCCTCGCTATCCGCATGTTCACAGCAGGCCAGGCTGGTTCTGGGGTCACTACGTCCCCCTCCTGCTGAAGCCCTGCCTGCTCCTCCTCCCGCCCTTTCTGCGGCTCCTACCTGAACCGTGTGCATTCCACAGGGCTCCATGAGGGGTCACACCTGCATGCAGGCACTGCCCGGTGCAGGCTGACCGCAGGACCACAGACTTCAGGCTCACTTGGCGGAGGAGCTTCCAGCCTGCAGCTGGTTCTGACAGCTGGTTCTGACAGCTGGTTCTGCAGCTGGTTCTGACAGTGTGGACTCCCACGTCCAGTTTCATCTGTTCCAGGGCAGGTGGGCACGGCAGGTGGGCAGGGCAGGCTACCAGAGCACCTCCCGTGCTCTCAGAGAACCGGCTGCCCGCTGACAGAGCTGCAAGGAGCCGCTAGGTCCTGACTTCTGGGAAGACAGCCTCCTGCCCAAGCCCAGGGATCTGCACGGAAGGTGTCACACCCCTCCTGCCCGGTCCTCCAGGACCCACGGCACCGTCAGTGGTCAGACAGCACCTGGCTCCATCCAGATCTGGTAGGGCTCGGGCCCTCCTCCTGGGTTTCTGTTCCTGGCAGTGAACACAGCAGCCAAGCACTTGGGCTGGGGAATCATGCAAACTCCGACTCCGGTTCAGCCCTGCTCCTTCCTCTTCACTGCCTGTGGGAGACCCCCTGGTCCTTCAGACACCCCATTCCTTTGCCAGGAGAACCCAGTCGCTGAATATACATGTTGAAGGTATTACTTTTTTGAAAGGCAGAAGCTACAGTGGTGGAGGTGGTGGGGAGAGATTTTCCATCTGTAGGTTCTCTCCCCAGATGACTTGCATTGTCTGGGATTGGGTCAGGCTGAAGCCAGGAGCCTGGAACTCCGTCTGGGTCTCCCACATCAGTGAGCTTTCCCAGGACTCTTAGCAAAGCGCTTGTCAGTAGCAAGGCAGATGCCAGGCTCACAGGCGGCTGCTGAACTTGCTTTGCCCCACCTGGGCCGGAGTGCTCGCTCTAAGGTATCTTGTGTGCAGGGCTGCTGGGAGCAAACAGCAGCACAGGATATCACTGCTCCCAAGACTCGGCCCCAGCCTTTGATGAAGCTGCTGGGTGCGCCCCACCCTGCTCCGGGCCAGGCGCCTGCCCCTGCCTCTGGCAACTCTGGCCCCTGTCCTTCCTGCCTTATTCTCCCTACCTGAGCCCCACACACACCTGCTGCCTGTTGACTGGCCTGTGTCTGGCTACCGTCCAGCGTGGGAGTTCTTCAGTAGCAGCAATGGGGCGGTGAGTCGTTTCATCGCCAGCTCCCAGGATGGGCGGGACAAGGGAAGGGAAGCCCAGGGAGGAGTGAAGAGATCCTGAGGAGAGGGACTCAGCCCTCACAGGGGCAGACGCACGCGCAGGCACAATCTGGCTGAAGGTCCCAGGGTGGGAGACTGCGCATGCACCCAGCTTCAGCAGCGGCTCTCCCTGTCTGGCTGTGGTGTTGACTGCCACCTGGTGGCTGCGCACCCTGCAGGGAACAGGGATTCAACAGAATCTTTTTTTTTTTTTTTTTTTTTTTTTAAATCAATTACATTGTATTATGTGACAGTTTCATAGGCTCTGGGATTCCCCTAACCCCTCCCCGTACCCTCCTCCATGGTGGATTCCTCCACCTAGTTGCAGTACTGTAGGTCAAGTTCAGTCAAGATTCTTACATGGCAAGAATATACCAAGCAGAGTCCGGCATCTCACTGTTCAGATAAATTCATCGGTTTCTTGGGGAGACCATCTCTGGTCTGAAGGCAGAGCTGGTAGAATATCATCCTGATCAATTAAAACATAACATCATAGCATCATAACATAACATCAACAACAATTTACAACATGGAATTAATTGACATGGTATTGAGTAACCAATATGTTAAAAAGATGCAAGTTCTTAATCACATCCTGTGACTACTTCATTGACATTTCAGTTTTAGTTTATATACAACCGGCTTCTATACACCTTGAAATGGCTATAGGGTACTATTCAGCTGTCTTGTGTCTATCCTCATTTTAGTATTTAGCAGTTTATAGTGTGGAGTATAATTTTGCTGAACCTGGCAGTTTTTAGGGTGGTCTAAATTGGTTTATAACTCTAACAAGGCATATGTCAACAGTTGAGGTGCAGAACAGTTTTAGGAGGGGTGTGCAGAGAAATGTTCCACACCCTCGTGAGGAGTAACTAATCTTTGTGTCCCACCTGGTAAGGTGTATGTGATTCCACAGAATCTTTAAATTTGGGTTCTTCCCCTGGAGTGCTGGCACTAGGAGCCTCCCCTTGGAACAGCCCCAGGAACCCCTACACTTCTGGCACCCACACCGTCCTTGTGACCCTAGCAGTCAAGTTCCCAAATGCCATAAGCTCCACAATTATTGATGACACTGGGTTTTTGGGGCTGAGCTGCTTTGGTTCTGAAGTCACCTCCTCCCTCCCCTGCGCTCTCAGATGGTTGGGGGAGGGGCCAGGATTGTAATGTAGGGGGTTAAGCAGCCGTCTGCAAGTCTGGCTTCCCATCTAGGCATTGGTTCAAATCCTTGCTGCTCCATTTGCCACCCAGCTTCCTGCTAATGTGCCTGGAAATGTGGCAGAGAATGCGCCAAGTGTATGGGCCTTTGGCACTCATGTGGGAGACGTGGGTAGAGGTCTGGGCTCTTGGCTTCAGTGTGGCCCAGCTCTGGCTCTTGGAGCCATTTGGGGAATGAGCCAGTGGATAGAAGACCTCTCTCTCCTGAGCCTTTCCTACTCTGCCTTTCAAGTAAGTAAATAAATAAATAAATCCTTAAAAAATTAAAAAAAGAGAAACAGTTGGAAAGCCTGGTATGTT